CAAACACTCGCATTTTCAATGAGTTTTAAAAAACTTGGCAAAGTTGACGCAAAATCATACAGAAATGGGTCACAAAATTAGAACAGATTACTTTAAAACGAAAATAGGCGAAAAATTTGGGAGAATTTTCCTTCTTCAACTCGAAAACAATTTATTTATTTGCAACCAGTTTGAAAGCCACTTTGATGTTGTTTAGCTGTCACTCAAAGTCATGTTTTGAAAACAAACACTCGCATTTTCAATGAGTTTGAGGACGAGGAACAAATACATTAAAAACATGGTAATGTTGACCCTAAATCATGCAGAAATGGTTTACAAAATTAGAACATATTACTTTAAAACGAAAATCGCCGAAAAATTGGGGAGAAGTTTCCTTCTTCAACTCGAAAAAAAATTTATTTATTTGCAACCAGTTTGAAAGCCACTTTGATGTTGTTTAGCTGTCACTCAAAGTCATGTTTTGATAACAAACACTCGCATTTTCAATGAGTTTTCTAAAATATTTAGGATACTACGCGCGCTGTGATTGGTTGAAAACCATGTTTGATTACAGTATCAAAACACGCTCGCGCGCGTCAAAAATTTCTTTTTTCCCGCCGTTTGCATTTGTTGTTGTTATCATTCATTTTCAAGAACAATTAACGAAGAAATGCTTATTTATGATGTCCTCTGGGATGATGTCCCAGAAGAAGAGCTATCAAACGTTTTAGAAGCTACAGAAGCTTCAGACAACTGCAACAGCTGCAATGTAAGGAGAATTCATCGTTTCATATCGCATCGAAAGTCAGAATTATTTACAATTTTCGTATTCTTTTAATTTTAGAAAAGAAATAAAAGACGAAATTCCGTGTTTGATACTCTGATCAAAACACTTGGGATGTAGTGAGAGCACTCGAAAAGCTGGAAACCACTCCGCTACGCGTCGTGGTTTCCTACGCTTCTCTCGTGCTCTCCCTACATCCCGCGTGTTTTGATCAGAGTATCAAACACGGAATTTCGTCTTTTATTCCTTAATTAAAAAACTTGGCAAAGTTGACGCAAAATCATACAGAAATGGGTCACAAAATTAGAACAGATTACTTTAAAACGAAAATAGGCGAAAAATTGGGGAGAATTTCCCTTCTTCAACTCGAAAACAATTTATTTATTTGCAACCAGTTTGAAAGCCACTTTGATGTTGTGTAGCTGTCAGTCAAAGTCATGTTTTGATAACAAACACACGCATTTTCAATGACTTTGAGGCCGGGGAACAAATACATTAACAGCATGGTAATATTGATACCAAATCATGCAGAAATGGGTCACAAAATTAGAACATATTACTTTAAAACGAAAATAGGCGAGAAATTGGAGATAATTCCCTTTCTTCAACTAGAAAAAAATTATTTATTTGCAACCGGTTTGAAAGCCACTTTGATGTTGTGTAGCTGTCACTCAAAGTCAAGGAGGAACAAATACATTAAAAAAACATGGGGGGAAATTGAAGAGAATTCCTTTTCTTCAAAATTTATTCATTTGCAACCAGTTTGAAAGCCAATTTGATGTTTTGACATGTCACTCAAAGTCATGTTTTGATAACAAGGCTTGTCATGATCGTCTAGGTGTTGTTCAAGGAGTCGATGAAGAGACTGCGTGCTGCTGGTTAGAGTGTGCTGTCTGCGCATGTCAGGATCTATTGGAGAGAAGCGGGTAAGCCGGTTTTGCATACCATGATCACATAATGATGCAATAAACTTACTTTAGCGTTTATCACCTAAAAGTGATCTACTTTTAGATTGATAAATGACAAAATTCTTGAACAAAAATTGAGAAAGACGATACCATGGAACCCTTTACTCATATATCCTTGTCCCTTTTGACACCGTTTTTTACGTTTACCAAATGCATTATTAGTTTCTTATAAAGGAACGTTTACTTCCTATAGATTACCGTATTTCTGTCCAGTTTGCCAAGACGACGTGACTAACCCAATTACTAAGACTAATCTTGACGTTATCATTAAGTGTGATATATGGAGAGACGCGCGTGTCACTGTCAAGGTAAGGTGCTCGTTACACCATACATAGAGCGGATTTCGTATGAGTGGGAAACGGACGGTACTGTACTGTGTCCGTAATCGGACTGTAACCAAATTCTAGTGCCCCATTGTTTCACCAAAATTCTGCAGGCCAGGTGCGGTAACTGTGCGGTAACCGTGCGGTAACGGTGTCCCACTCATACGAAATCCGCTCTATTGTATTTAGCTTAAAGTCATAGTGTATTGTTATTGTTTACAGCTTCTGCAGGCCACTATCGAAAAGCTACTCCCTGTTTCATACCGAGACAGTGACCAGGTAAAAAGAAAGGGTATTGTCATTGATCGAGGGTGGGGTTGGCGTGTTTCTCTCGAACAAACTCACTGCAAAAAGAGCATTAGGGACATACTCCCTTTTTCGACATCGTGCGACAATGTTGCAAGAGGTGCTTCGCTATGTTTGCAAAAAGTCTGATAACCTGCGACAATTTTGTCTGACGTTTTCTCTGACCAGGCCGAGTTTTTAGCCGGCAGGTGCGTACGAAGGCCGAAAACTGTGCCTAGCTCACTTCGTGCTTATTAGCAAGCAACGTTATATTTTCATTAAGCTCGCTGTCTTGTTTGGTATTTGTAGGGATATGACATTGAACGTGTTCTTGGAAAACGTCTTGGGCCGTTGTACTGTTACATCGAAGAACATGGGGAACTTACAGCTAAACTTTCAGAAATCGTTGTCTGACTGTGACGTCACCTTTTGGTGTAACTACGGGCATGCGCAGTAATTGCACCTTAATCCTAATGTAGTCGTTTTCTGGGATGATACTAGCGAATTGACATTTACCCTACTTGATTCAAAACGTTTGGTCGAGGTATAAACCAAGTTCAAGGAGATAAAATTCCTAAGAATTATAAAAGTTATATCATTAATTCTACGAATTATTTATGTAATATTTATTTATTTTGATGAAATACATATTAAAATACTTGTTTGATACTGGTTGTTGACTAWGGTCAGATGCGCATGMGTCACTGCAGGAGCCCAGTCCAGTCAAAGAAACATAACACTGTACCTAAACATCATTAAAACTGCTTAATTTCAATTTTGTTTGTCATGTAGACATCGTAGACATCGGATTGTTTGTAAAATTCACAAGTTGGATGTTCGAATCTCGTTTTACAGTCGTGGCTTCATAATCATAGAATTTTGGGCACATTCCGTCATATACGTAGGCCTTTTACGTAGGCATTTGGTTGTAAAAGAGAGGACCCACACCGTTAAAACTTTCTTGTGATTACTTTCTTCAAAATAATCACTTTTTCCTCATATTGCGGGCCAACTGCTCTTTGTGATTGTTTTAGTAGAATCATTAACATTTTCCGTATCGTTTTCGGTAAAGCGTCGGAGGTAACGATTCCAATACTTTCATCCACGGTCTTTCCACTACCACTAATGAGCCGTCTTGGACAAAACCAGTATACAACAACGACTCGTATTTCTGACAAATTTTAAAAGAATCCTCGCTTGAATCTTTGCATTCTTCTTCTTCCTGCTCTTTTTTCTTTCCGCCTTTCTTTTTCTTATTTKTTTGTTTGCCTTTTCCGTCCTCTTTTGCTCCCTTTGCCTTCTCGTCCAGTGAAGAACTTGCTGTCCTTTTGCGATTGGCATCTTGTTGAGATTTCTTGAATAAAACAATATCTGGATCTGGTAATGGCTGAAAACATAGGACAAAATACTATAGATTGTGTCTAGTAAAGAAAACTTCAACTTGACGCGAAGTATTGTTGCTGTTCAACATTTACTGACAGTGTTTCTACTATCTTAGGGCATTTTCTTTTGTTGCGCAACAGGTTGCCTCTGGTAGGCAAGGCGAAAAACAAGAAACATGGCGACCAAACTTGAACAGCAACAATGCTGAAGGGACAAGTCGTGTCGTATCAGGATGTACCGTTTAAGTCGAGGGGTTTTGGATCACATATTCCTCCGCCTTTCGTAAAATTAAACGGTAACTTTTATTGTTTTGCAACTTAAAAATGTTTCTATATTAACAAATTGAACTTTTCGCTTATTTTTCGCGCCAAAACTACTTCGTCGAAGCCCGAGCAAGCGCGCGTCAAATGAGCGCAAATTACTTATTATTCCAAGGAAGGAGTTTCAACTGACCTTTTTCAGGTTTATCACAGTGAACATTTCGTGGTCCTGTAGAAGCATCAAGTCTGCATCTAAGGGACTGAAAGCGACGTTGACAATCTTACTATATCTTCGAGTCCAATCTTTGGGTAAACCATTGTTTGACGMTTGCTTTGACCAGTCTGTGAGCTTGCTTTCACTAGTATTATAAATGTATACCTATGAAAAAATGAAAAAAGAGATTAAATATTACAATAAAAACTGTTGATGAATAAAAACAACAACAGCAAAATTAAACAAACCAGTACAAACTAAATAAAATATAGTGGAAGATAACAATGATAACTTTCTATATGATTTGACGTCTCTAACCTGTTTATCAGCGCATACAATAGCCAAGAACTGTGTTCCAGGCTGAAATGCCATAGCTGTGACATGGCTATCGAAGGTAGGAAGTGTGGAGTGGTGCTAAAGAAATACAACAAGAAAAAAATGAAAAAGACCAACTTCTGTGCTAAACGAGGCGCAATACAACCGCTCAATCTTACGGATTTTTTTCCAACAGAGGAGTCCTAATGCTACTAAATTTGTAGTATTAAATACTACTGACACTATAAAGTATTCCGTGCATAGAGTGTGCGGTGCGCGCAACACATTTCATTTCTGCTAAAGGGAGTGAGGAGCTTTTGCTTCATGCAGTACTACCTTCACTTATCATGCGACACGACAACTATTCGCTTCAACATTTGTGGCATTGTATAACAACTGTTCAATAGTTTCAATGTGATACCTTGGCACTTTTTATGTTGAAGACATTGACGGCGTTTTTACTATCAACACAGGCTGTCCATTTGCCATCATCAGAGACTGCCAGCAGTCGCATTGCAGGAAGATCTGTTAAGTTAAATGAATTGAATGWATGAATAGATACGTGTACGTCCAAATGACGGCGCGCATTAATACGATGAGATGATGCGCATATATYAGAGGATATATTTTTGCTAAAGTTTGGAAAATAAATTCATGTCTGATGATAATAACAAWAATATTGATGACATTTAAATATGATGATGATGACAAACAAGAGCAACACCAAACGCACAAAAAAAGACAAATCAATCATACCTTTTTCGTTTCCTGGCAAATGTAGAGTCGTGTTTAGAGTGATTTCATCATTGAGGTCCAAAATCTACAAGGTCAATAATCGAATTATACCTTTTTATATTTCAAAGCATTTTTGGAAGCAACTCCTTTAGGTGCCGAATTAAATGCAAATTATTCCAAGTTTTTGTTTCAGCTCGTCATATCATACCAACATAAAATATTAGACTCTATCGCATAGAGGCGCAGTACATGATAGCGAAAACATATCGCTTGAGAACATTTGCAGAGACTTCTGGGATGGATTTGTGCAATATTATTATAGCATGCGTGCTATCAATTAATTGCAGAAATTAAGAAGAGATTCACGGTTCGTCAGCCAATCAGAATCGAGTATTTACGTACGTATGATATTCGACAGTGTATATTGCCTAAAGAACTTGTATATCTGCAGCAAATACCTGTATTGAGTGCTGGTTTGTAGCGCAAACTAACATTGTAACGTCTTTAGTAAAACACATTCTTTGTGCTGGTAAAAGGTCAGGAGGAAGCGGYARCACCTTAAACACACAAACACAATCARAAATAATGATAATGACCTGAAAGCAACTACCTGCATAAACATACTCTGGACACTTTGAAGTTTTCCTTGCTCTCTGATGTCTGCAAATACAAAAATACAAATACAATGAATAAGTTCTACAAGATACATACATGTATCTACATGTAAAAGTAGTATTGAAGATAGTAAAAAGTATTTACCATGCTCACAGAGAAGAGACTGATGTGCTCAATATCAGAGTATGCAACCCACTTTGAACAAGATGACACTGCACTACACATAAYATGGTTATCTCCCTACAAAACAAGCAGAATTACATGTAGAAAGACAACACATAAAAACATGAATAATAATCTGGTAAAGGTTGGTTATCATGCGATGTCATAGCAATTATTCTTTGGGACAACCCCTAACTTTAAACACATTATGTTATTAGTTATTTACTTTAACAAATTGCCCACCATTTTGAGTTGTATGAACTCTTATTAACACACTTTTGACTTCATAAAATGTTTAAATCTCAAGTGGTCCCACAGCTGCAGTGTGGTAAAACTTTATTTAGTAACTAAGAGTTTGTTCAGACATAGAGAAAAGTATCAAAGTTGGTGCTGCTGTTGGAGCTGTTCAACTTCTGTGATATCAACTAGTTTATACATAGTACATACATGTAACGTTTAACTGCATCACATACATGTATGGGGCACACTCATTACCTTAGCATTGATTTGCAGTAACTGCAAAGGATGCGACTGAAGTACCGTACTGTCTTTATCTAAAACAATGATAAGAAATGATGTTACAGCAGAGTACAGTAGATGTAGCTGACWTCAATTTAGTCAAAGTTAAACTCATGTCCTGTATCTTAGCATGCATTGGGGAAGCCTGCCCTGCATTGCTTACATGTTTTCACCAAGTCATTTCACTTCTTAGCCTAAACTCTTCTTTGGTATAAGTATGGACTTAGCAAGTGTTCTCCATTCACTATGTCAGGATGTTTCGTTTATTTTGTGGATAACATAATATCTAACCTGTTGATCCGAGTCTCCAGAATTGCAAGAATCCATGCCATTGGTACATTAAGATATTCACATCTGATGCGAGACTGATTATAGGGTGCTAAAAACAACAAAAACAATCAAGCTATACATGTACTTGTACAATTTGCTACAACAACAACTCTTGAAAATGTTGATTTCCACTTGGAAACTCACTTGTGGGAATGATGAAATCCTTCTRTGGCTAGCTTCTGTAAACTTAGATAAGGAGTACACACCAAGATTTGTGTCAACACCTGAACAACAACACGTTCTATAAGTTAACAGTGTTTTGGGATGAAAACCATTCATTTATACTGTAAATTCATTTGTACATGTAATGTCCTTATAATAATAATAATTCTTTATTCCATAAATACCAGAAATGATACATTAGAACATAAAAATTAACTTTAACAAAAAAATAGCTGTCTAAATTATTGTACAGATTTAGAACATTAAAACATTAAAAGTCTGAATGAATCCTTACACACTGTAACAGCGAGACTTCTATTTTAGCAAGTTTTCATTTTACCTCCTGATACCAGTAAATCTTTTGAATCCAGTATAGCCAAAGCYCTGACATCATGTGTATGCATTCTCATTGCAGTTGTCTTGAACCATTTTGGCTTATGTCCCTGCAAATTAAGCCATAAACTGTGAGTGACTAATAAGGTCAGAAAGTAGACCCTAGCTGTACTTACAGGTCTTTCAGTSAGTTTGAACCTCACAACATTGCTATCAACTCCTGATGAAAATAGAGTATCCTCTCCCTACAAGAAAAATAATGCAAAATAGTTTATAAAAAATAGTACAACAAATGGGCAGAAAAGTATTTTTTTACCTCATTGATGCARAAGGACAAAACATCAGCTTTGTGCGCTTTATAACTCTGTAAAGACATGATATAGATGTAAATGTTAATATTAATTTTCATTGGTCATTTAGCACATCATTTATCAGGTGTTAATTTTTTTTTAATGAAATAAAATGTCTAATGCTTCATGTACCTCAACAAGGGTCCCTGTTTTTCCATCCCAGAACTGAGTATTACCAAGAGAATCCCCTGTTATTATGGTAAAATTTCTGTAAAAAAAAACAACAACAAAACAAAACAAAACAAAATTATAAGTCTATTGTCATAAGTCTATTGTTCAAGTAGCTTTACTTGTTTAGTACCCACCAAACTAATTTGAAATAAGAAAMTAAAAAATAAAACTTTCTCAACTTTTTTCGGTTTCTCGATGTGATCATGGTCTAACATTCCTCTACCATAGTTCAGTGGTCAATCAGAAAGCAGCATTTGTGATACAGATACAAGTTTATAGCTTGGTGTATACTACATGTAAATTATCATAGTCAATAATTAAGTCTCAAGTCCTTTTTGTGGCACAGGCAAAGGTATCCTGCTGAGTTAATAAGTCCTTGTATGACACAACACAAATAGTTGAATTTGAATGTCAATGATGAAGTTACCAGTATCTTAAGATGATTTGACTTACTTTGTTATATAGACATTCCATATCAATGTACTTCTGGTCTCAAATTCTTCCATAGTAATTCTTAATGTACATTGTCCAGTTTTAATATTATAAATTCTCACTGTACTGTCAGATGAACCAGTAACTAGAATTTTGTCRCTAACATGCCAACTAAGAGACAGTATTCTATCTAAAATACAAAAAACAAAAAACAAAAAAACAAAGCCTGATAAGATATAAAACAAACAAAACCAAGGGAGCCCACCAGTAAGAACGGCTATAAGGAGACTACAGGACAGCTAGTGCTAGCCAAGACAGGATTTTTTACAATCTAAGATCCCTGTGATACATTTTTTCTCCAATCAGTAATTAACTTTAAGTTAATAAACTAAAAATGTAATAAATAATATCAGAAAACTCAATTTTAATTTCAGCAACGATGGTGATTGCTATTCATAACAATAACACTGATGATTGAAAATACACTGTAAYAAAGGCAAGRATTTACAATCCATAACGTAGCCAATGATTCTAMAAATCAGTCATAAATAGGTGCTTACTTTCTTGTTTATCTAAAGATCTGAYGTATARCAACCYGCCATCTGGTAGTATTTCAAATARTCTTGTTGAGCCATCTTCACAACCAGCCTGCTCAAACACATAACACAGATCAACACAGTTGTACAAAGGACAACAGG